TTCGTATGTATCGGAATAAGCAAGAGCGTAGAATGAGGTAACGTAAACGAGGATTCGCGAGCCTTTGAGATGTTGATAGGTGCTAGCAACCCGACACACTTCGAGCCAGAGGTCAATGGCTTTCAGGCTGCCGACGCCAGCTGGCTTTCAGCGCTCGAAATGCTTGTTGTTACTGATACAAGATAGGAGCAAGACAGACTACGTGCTTAAGAGTGGCCACGCAAGAAGCTGCCGCTTCAGTGTCAGCTCGGGGCGAACTTACGTTCGTAATTGCTGGCAGTCGCACAACTACGCTAGTACGTCGTAATATATGCGTACTTCTTTCGGGCGTCGTGCCAACATTCCTTTTTGACTGCACTTCTCATTCGAGTGCTGGCGGCTCGCACGAAACGAAAGTCGCAGCTGCGCTAGCTTGGGACAGTTGCGCATGATCTGCGACCACGAAGTAAGAAACAAATAATTTAAATGCCATTTGATTGCGTGATGCCAATCATTTCATTCTCCCAGAAATAAAAATAGGAGGTTTCGTCAAACAACACAAGGACACGCAAAAGCTCAGAAAAACACATGTTTCAATTCGTTTAGGTTTGGCGTGCGAATAAAAATTACCCAGCCTCTCATTTATATTATTTGCAATTTTCTTTCTTTTACCGAAATGGGCATTTGGGCTTGCTGGTCTCGCATGGTGCGGTAATGGTTGTGTAATAGACAAGTGACTACTGCACAATAGTAAAGATTGTTCTACGTGCAATAATGTTTAATTAAGTCTTTCTTATTACTTCATAAAACAATTCATGGAAGAACCGTACACAAGCGGCATGCAGCGTATGTGGTGAAGTTTAAAATCACAAAAGCGTTTGTTAAGTTTGAAAATTTGCTCTGGCAATTATCGTTTTAAATATTTGCATTTTAGTCATTTTGATGTGACCAATCCATAACAACACTTTCAATTACAGTTGATTGATGATGCTTGATTATTATGTGACTGCCACTAAAATGAACATGCATGTTCTCGCTGTTACACCTTAGATCTACAAATCTAAAGGTATATTTAAATAAAATTTGTAAGTGACATTACGTAGGTTGTGGCGTTAAAACCAAGGAAAGAATATATTTTCAGTTTTAAATTTTTTGACCGTCACTGAAGTCAATGTTCAGTTATGCAGAAAATTATGCATTGTTTTGTGCCTGTCGTTATCGCTTACAAGTACCAATCATAGGATAGATGAACATTTTAAGATAATTTCCCAGTGTGTAATTGTATGCAGTCTGCTCCAACTACTCCGCTGAATGATACATCCATACAACAGGCTCATAAATGTGTCATTCTACAAACCATACTGCGTTTTGTGTTTGTTGCCAACAAATAATAGAAAATACTAAATGTATGGTGTATGCTCTCGGTTCTTAACCTCGAGCAGATGAGAGAATATAGCTCTTGTCACCTGACTTCCACGTAACATAGCTTGCTTACACTCTACGTCAGCTGCGACAAAATAGGCAGTGAATAATTATGTGTAACGTTACAACGCGGGCCTTTCCGAGAAATTCGCCCAACAGAAGCCTCAGAAAAATATAAGATGAAGAGGAGCAGGTATTTAGTTTTAAAAAATGGATTCGTTCTCCGGGTGGTGCCACCAAGCGCCCATACTCCAGGTCAATATTGTGGTAAGTCTACTACACGTGCAGGACTAACCAGACGCGCAGTCTTCCCAAATAAAAAAAACACAGAAACTGAAAAAAATTGTATGCCCTCTTGAAAACATGCTGTGTTTACTATACCGGGTGTTCAGTGCTAAGTTTTATGTTTCTTTTATTTCTTAGGCGCTGGAAGGCACGCGAATATCACTTCTGTTGTGTGGCCTGGTAAACCCTAGATGAAATGATAATTATCACTGTCATCAGCCCAAATAACTAAAATTTATTAATTACCTTTTAACTTTTATGTTTGTATTAAAAACAATGTGGACAGTAGTTTTTTCACACAGTTTGGGTAGGAATATTTATTCTAGCACGTCTGTGCTCCGAGATATCCGGCTCCCAAGTTTAATTGTCTTTCACATGATTACGCATACAAGAAAGAAGATGAGGGCCAACGCCAAGCTAGTCTCTATAGTGATGCGTCTGTTGCGTGTGGCGTTTAATCTGTGAAGAGGATAGATGCCTAGGCAGACATGATAACAGTTGCCCTTGCCCTCTCGGCAAGCTAAATTAAAGGTGATAGCGCGGTGAGCCATGAGCCATACGCACGATTTTAATGAATGCAATAACGAGAGACCATTTTTCGTGGTGTTTTTTCGTGACTTTAGATCCCACTAAGACATCTCGCTAACGCGTTAGCTTGAGCGTCCTTCACTAGGGTGCTTCCCGTATCACAGTGTCTCTGCATTGAAGGACTACCAATGAAATCCACGTGGAGTCCTTTAGAGCTAATATAGCTGCTTCTGGAGTGAGGTATTCTACCAAAGAAAAAATAGACGTGGTGCTTGCAATGGCTGAAATTAATGGCAACCCTTCATAGGTCATGAAGCTTTACGTTTCTCACCACCTTCACTGTCCCCTTCAAACTAGGCCCACCTTTATAAACCTGCTTCGACGCTTTTGCCCAACAGGCTCTGTCCACATTCCGAGACAGGCCAGTGAGGCAGTCATTGATGACGACTTTCAAATCGACATTGTCGCGTGTGTAACCTCGATGCCAGAGCTCAGCATCTGACAGATTGCCGATCAGGGTGGTCGCAGCGCTGGAACAGTCACAAATGTGCTAAGAAAGCACGAGTTGCATCCGTATCTCGTTTAGCCTCATCAGGAGCTAAATGAGGAGGACTTTGAAAGGTTATTCGGCTTCTGCAACTGGGGTCTCATCAGAACTTATTAAGAAAATAACTTTTTGCACAGACTAATTAGGACTGATGAAGCTGGGTTTTGCCACAGAAGAAGTGTTAATCTTCACAACTCCCGTTATTGGCCACATGAAAACCGACACTGGTTGAGGAGGTACAAGCATCAAGTTCACTGGAGTGTAAATGTGTGGCGTGGCATACTAGGGAACAGGATCATCGGACCTCACTTTTTTGAGGACAACTTGAACGGAAAGATGTAGACAGAAAACATATTAGGTGTTGTTGTTGATAGGCTTGTCTGCAGTCTTTCGCTCAATGACCTGCGCGAAGTATGATTTCATCACGATGGAGCATCACCGCATTTCTGTACGAGGGCAAAGAACTGGTTGCTCATACGTTTTCTACAACAGTAGATAGGGCGCGCAGAAGCGATGTTCTGGCCACCAAGATCCCCTGACCTTTCTCCACTCAACTTCTTTTGGGGGGGCTACGTTAAAGATCCAGTTTACGTAACAGAGCCCAGCGATGTTAATGACACGAAGGACAGAATAACATCTGCCTTTGCAAGTATTCTTCAAGAAGTACTGCGCCGAGTCATCAAGTTCATATATAGAAGAGTAGTTCATGCTTTTTGATGCAGCAGAAAGCAGGCATTTTGAACTCTTTTGGGGGCATTTACATCTTGATGGGTGAGGTGTTTTGATGAGATTTGTGCATGACCAAAATAATCTTATGTGGCAGCGGCAAATATGCGTTAGCAAAAGTAAAACTGTTTCAGTTATTAATAATGCAGTTCTTGCTTTTGATTTTAATTAGAGTTGTAGTACAGGGACATCTGCAGCCACGCTGTTCGCGTAGCCCAGGTAAGGACCACGCACGCTTTTCTAGTCATTATTACGCACGCGCACTGGCGTCCGGACTCTCCGCTATCATCATTATCTTGGCATGGCATCTGACAGTATTCCAGCAGCGCCTCCGCTATTAGAGGCTCTGCGGTTGCGTGTAACAACACTGCTTACATGGGTTCTTTTTTTTTTTTTTATTTCGCCGGCCGAGATGGGAAAGGTAACTGTTATCTCTGCCTGCGCATCCACCCTTTTCACAGACTAGACGCCGTACGCAACAGACGCATCCCTTTAGGGAGGAGCTTTGCGACCCTTCCCTCGCCCTTTTGCATGCGTAATCATGCGAAAGACAATTACAGTTTAGAGACAGATATCTCGAAGCACAGGTGAACTAGATTAAATCTTCCAAGTGAAACTCTGAACTAACATCGCTGCCCACATTTTTTCAATGCAAACATTTCAACTCACTGCAGCCAGTAAATTTAATTATTAGAATTCAGTTAATTGTGCTGCTAACAATATAAATTGTCATCTCACTTTGCGTTCCCCTCAACTCATAAATTATTGGCACAAGTGGTCTTTGAGTGCCTTCCAGCACCTCATTTAAAAAAACAAAAAGCTTAACTGGTATATTTACGATGGAGGCGGAAATGTTGTAGGCCCGTGTGCTCAGATTTGGGTGCACGTTAAAGAACCCCAGGTGGCCTAAATTTCCGGAGCCCTCCACTACGGCGTCTCTCATAATCATATAGTGGTTTTGGGACGTTAAACCCCACATATCAACCATTAACTGGTATATTTATGCATGCACAGACGACACTTGTTCATAGTCATAGTGTTCATAGTTCAATATTCAGCTCATTTCAAAGTTCATAGTTCATTTCATAGTTCAGTGTTCATAGTTCATAGTTCATTTCATAGTTCAGTGTTCATAGTTCGTAGTTCATAGCGTTCATAGTAGTATACGCTTCACGTATTGTGTGACGTAAGCATATACGCATCGTACGATCCGTGTGAGACACGCTGGCTGGCATCTGCAATATGAAAAGACTGTAGCAGCAATAAAATAGACTGCGTTCATGTGTCCTCTTCAGTACCACACTGGGAATAATGTCATTCATGTGGCTTTCATTTCAAAGACAGAAATATTCTGCAACGCACTCGAAACCATCAAAGTACCTTCAGTGTTAAAAAAATGCAATTCGAATAACACTACATTTCTAGCAAGGTTGCGAATGTTCGAGACGAACAGGAAAATTGTCATAATGAAACAGCACTGCGTACCAAGCCCGTGGAAAAAAAAAGAACTTACGAAAAATGTGCTGGAAAGCACCGTCCCCGACATCGACAAGAAGGCGGACAGCAGAATGTACAACGAGATGAGCCAGTAGGCAAATGAGATGAGCATGAGAAAAATGCCCGAGCTGTAACCGGAGTACTGGTAGCACAGGCTGAACACGATGATGCCGAGGATCTGTAATTGGAAAGAATGCGCTATAGACTGTTGAACCAGTTGCCTTGACAAGGAGCTAAACACTGGCGTAGAAAACAAAAAAAGCAAGTAGGCAACCCAAAACACTGTTTGCATTGCAATAAGTAACCAGTGATTTTTCAGGCTAAGTTAGCTGACACGGCTTTTGCGGGGGAAAATACTACAACGAGGCAATGTGCATTAGCACGCTGTCGAAGTAGCAGCACCTTGCAGCACGAAGGCATACATCAGCCAGCGTTTATATCCTCCGCAGCATGAACACATTCGATACAATTATCCCATTATTGACCCACACCTTATAATGAATTTGTGGAGAGCGTTTCTACGTATACAGCCGTTAGCTATTGCAGTCGTCTTAATAGAATTCACTGCAACAACACAGTACCAAAAAATGTTGTGTCACGCAGGATGGCGGTTTTCAGAATCTGAAATAATGGGCGCGGAAGAGAATACACGAAAGAAGCATTAAGACAGAACGCTTCAATTGCTACTCATCTTTTTCTTTTCTTTTTTTGTGGCATCGCTTCTGTTCCCAACATTTTCAATTCTTACGGTAATGTTCAGACTTAGTATTTTCAAATCAAGTGATAAGGCAAAAAGAACAAGCTCTTAGGCAACACGTAATCTTGTTTTCTGCGAAAGGGTTCACTATAAGTGACGAAATATTATGTAGGTTCGTATGGACCATGATATCGCTGCTAAATAAAGAAAACTAAAGTTAATTTACATATTCGTTTATATAGAGTCCGCACATTATGTGTCTTAGTGAGTGAGTGAGTGAGTGAGTGAGTGAGTGAGTGAGTGAGTGAGTGAGTGAGTGAGTGAGTGAATTTGCCACATAACTATAGTATACTTTTTCGACTGAAAGGTGCTATACGAAGGGGTTACGCGTCAAATAACTACAATGATGTGCCATTTCTATTTTTTAAATTATAACTGTTTACTGCTTCATGCGTAGTCACATTTATGTGTTACCCGATCTGTTATTGTATTGTGGTATTCTCACTCGACGGTTGCGGTTTACTTGAATTTTTTTTTTACCCCAGGTGATCGAAATTTCCGGAGCCCTCCCTTATACGGCGTCTCTCGTAATCATAAAGTGGTTTTGGGACGTTAAGCCTCACATATCTGTTTATCTTTGAATTTTCTTCTAAATTCGTGTAAAAAAATGACGTGTGCAATGTGTGGCAATTATTTTATATTACTTAATACCGGTGTAATGCCCACATGCGGTGTATCAACGCATGTTAAATCTAAAGAGAATCAATAGTTGATAGCGCGCACGCTTATCCCTTGTACGCGGTGCTCCAACAGCTCGTAGCCAAAAGGTGAAAAATCTCGATAAGCTGGTTTTATTATGTGGTTAATAAAGAAAATTAGAGCCTATAGGAAAAACATCGGAAACTAAAGGAGAACGTTTGCTCGCATGTCAGCTAATAGTGATCTTATAGCACTTTTTAACCAGCCGTTCATACTACGTCGGCGTTTTCAACGTTCACTTACGTGACTGACTGCCCTGTTCCCCAATTGCGGTTATTGTGGTTATAAGAGGGAAAAGACGAGAAAAGTGAGCCCCGTAACTGCCTGCATCAGGGTGCGATATCTCAACAGTACCTCACAAGGGATGGGGTCAGGAGGGATTAAAAGTATAGTATTAAACGTATATATATAGAGAGAGAGATGCGCTCGGACAGCGAGCGACGACTTATGAGAGATAGGAGAGATAGTAACGATGGAAACACGGTCACAGGAGTCCGAGGACGGGGCACCACTTGCGAGAGCTCTTGTCGGTGACAGGAGATGTTCCCCACTCACTTACGTCCAGCCCATTACACTTCCGTTTAAAACGTTTCAAATTAATTCAAATGCGTCACTTGTTCGCACCGAGATCTCATGTATGGTACCACCCCTTTAAGCCATTTCTAGACAGGTGCAGCCGACCTTTGTGCTCTATTGGATTCTGGGGTTTTTATGTGCCAAACCACAATATGGTTATGAGACACGCCATAGTGGCGCAACCTGAATAAATTTTGACGAGCCCCTAAACATGCGTAAACGGGTGTTCTTTCATTGAGCTCTGATAGAAATGCGGCCACTGTGGTCGGTAATCGAACCGACGTCCTCACGTTTCGCAGGGTGACACCTTACCTAGGTTACCATGAAGCTATTGTGCTACTTCTGCTGAGTGACGGGGTTCCTGTGGAGATCATATAACGCTAGTCTTTCAGAGCATGCAGCATCTTTTTTTTTTTTTTCCTTTCTGCATTCGCCCTGCGGTGGTGGTCTTGTGGCTAAGGTACTCGGATGCTGACCCGCAGGTCACGAGATCGAATGCCAGCTGCGGCGGCTGCATTTTCGATGGAGGCGAAAATGTTGTAGGCCTGTGTGTTCAGACCTGGGTGCACGTTAAATAACCCCAGCTGGTCAAAATTTCCAAATCCCTCCACTACGGAATTTCTCATAATCATATGGTGGTTTTGGGGCGTTAAACCCTACTTATCATCATCTTTTTTGCCTCTAAACGATGTCTCCTGTACGATTGTATTTTACCGTTACACAATGATGGTCAAGTCTTCGAAAGTAGTTATGTGGGCTTGTTGGTCGAGCATAATAAATATCTCAGCTGCCGTGCGAACATGACACATGAAGAATATATGGAACACACGAAAAAAAAAAACAGCACACACGGTGCTACCGGCAACTGCAACAGTTACCAGAAGCACGGTGTCTCTGTTGTCTTTGTGTGCCTTCTTTTTTTTCTTTTGTGTTTACGCTGAAACTGAGGCGTTCCTCGTGGCGCACAGTCGGCTCTTAGGCCGTATAATATGAGCACCATCGTAATTTATCACTATTCTCTGATAAAAGTGTACAAAAAACAAAAACTATTCCACACACTCTGAAGTACCATAGTGGCTAGGATGTTGAGCTGCTGAGGTCTACGTTAAAGCAGTAGCGTAGGCTTTTGGGTGAGTTGGTATGGTTACTTATAGACCACTTGTTAGAGCGGCACCAACTAGAATGAATAAAGAACATATACAGACAAGCGCTTGTTGGTGTACTTTCTTTCCTCATCCTTGTTAGGGTTGCTCTAACAAATCGTCAAAACGAAACCATGTTACAGGCTCAACACGGCTGCAAGGGCTGTGTTTCGGGAGGGCTTAAAGCCGAAACGTCCGTGTATTTTTATGTGTACGTTAAAGGACCCTACCAATGATAAAATTTCAGTGTGGAAAGCTCCGGATTCATTTCATAATCATATCGGAGCTTTGAAAAACAAATTTATTTTTCTTGCATTCAGCTTCGCAGTTGAAGCTTACTAATACTTTTTTCCATCTGCAGAGCTTTAAGGCTCATTTGGGCTTCTTACGCAGCTTTTTGCTACAATCAAAAGATTTTTCTTTCTTTGCGTAAGATTTCCTCCGTATCATTTTTCTCGCTCACTTTATGAGTTCCTCCTATCTACCACGCTGACACTGTAATTTTCGCGATAGCGGTTGCTTATAAAGGTACGGTGAAGGCTGAAAAGAATGCAAGACTGACTGATAGCTACAAGTATGAATCGTTTCGCGTGCGTGCACGCCAGAAATGCAGTCGTAAAAACTATTGGCGCGGTAGGTTCACCTTACCAGCTCAAGCAGTGTGAGAATGCCTCCGATGCTTGTCAGGAACGCTGTATTCACCGACAGGGCAACTACTGGCGACGAACCGGACGTTGTCACTGTGGTGGTCTGGCGAACAGTAGTTGTGCTGGACGACATCGTGCTGGCCTGCGTGCAGTCGTCAATCTCACGCCACACCCTTTTTCTCCTGTGTTCTTCTCTTCTTATATAGCAAAGTCATGTACGGCACGCGTTCTCAGTATTCTTTCAGTGTTTTTTTTTTTTTTTGTGCCAACAATAGAGATAACTGAGCGTGTGCCAATCCCGGGGATAGTGCAATACCCGGCCGACCCGCGCGGAGGGGAAGCAGGTTCAAGCATTGCGCCCCTTATAATAATAGTACTAGATAAATAATAGTGCTTTGAGAACTCGAGTATTGTAAAGGCACCGCATGTCTGGGCAGATATTACAAAAAAGCAGACACAAACGAGAAACAGAGGCATAAGTCGCGTCTCGTGCGTCTGTTTCTCGTTTGGCTTTTTGTTTCTTTTTCTCTTGCGCTACCTACTCAAGTATACAATTTTACAAACTCGCCCAGATTTAAGTTCTTGTAAGGTGACGCACGTGAGGCGTGCTTCACGTCTGGTTAACTTTGACGCACCCTGTACGGTTCGTCTAGCACAGATTAAAGCAAGGCTGCTGATGCACGCTGCCATAAGAGGCACCATGATCACGTACGTCTGACTAGGTGCCGATTGAGTTGCCAACAGTGACCATTACTCTGAACTGGAAGACGGGACTACCGAAAATGACTAAACGTGTACCTTTATATAACCCGGCACTGCGATGCGCTCCAGTTTTCATCCGCCTTCCCGCAATTTTTTTATTACATGAACCGCTTGGAAGTGGTTTCTCCTAGCTCATCCGTTCAGACTGAGAACGTCATCAATTTATATATATCTGTAAACGTGGACATCTTTAAACGTACCTTGGAGAAGGCACAGGCACCTATCTGCTTTTTTCAGCAATCGATTAGAGTAAACCAAGGTTCCACTTAACGTATGGGACACATTTTCGTCAACTCCTGAAACACCTCGGCTACCAACAACAGGGTTGACACCGCCGCGTTCATTCGCTTCTCCGTCGGCAGCAGTGCGCGCGGCGAACCTCGCTATAACTGCCCCGCCCACTTTCGCGCTGTAGCGATTCGCTCCTGCCGGGAGTGGCTCGAAACGCATCTGTGCTGAACCCTTCATTTGAGGCACGCGTTGCTCAGCTGTTCACTGCCATTGCTAAGTATTGTTGCGCTTGTTTTTACTCCTTCCGCGCGTAATAACGCGCATACTCTTGAGTGCAGAAAAAAAAAACGGGAGTGGATCACAGCGAGCCGTACCTTGAAGGTGAACCGGGGATGCTCCGGAAGCTTGGAGAGCGAGAGCTGTAAGCTGGATCGGAAAAGATCCCCGCAGAAGTGGGACGCGTGACAGTGCGCGTCAGCAGAGCGCTAAGCTTGAATGCCTGCCTCCAGAACAACGGCGATATTCTTTCCGGCAGCCTAGAACGGGATGTGATGTCAGGACGGGCGTAGCATCGGCCAGGAATGCCGGCGGGGGTGGGGGATGAAAGAAGGGAGGGGAGCGCTTTCCAAGGCCGCGTTTGGCTCAGAGCTGCTGAGTTGGGAAGTTGTTTATACGGGGACCTCCATTTGAAGCGCTCCAACGTAAGTGCTCCCCCGCCAGCCGCGCGTGCTTCTTTTCTCGGTCTGTTTTTCCACGCCACGCGCAACGACGCGTTTGTAAGATGCCTCCCGCTGCACCAATTGAGACAGCGGTCTGGCTACAAAGCAACTTGAACCCACGGTCGGGTCAGCGCCAAGGCAGCCACACGAAGGGGCACTGTATACACATCATTTCGCCTAATACAGGGCACTCTCATGTTTCGTCGTTTTTTTTTTTTCTAAACGAGCAGTGCGCAATGTGCGAGCTGCGAGCAGCCAGCTAAGGCAAAGCTATATACATTTTCTTAAATAAAATACCCATTTACATTCTCCGAAGAACACTTGTAATCGAGTGAATTGAAGACATTGCGTTCTGACATCCAACACTAATATAGGACCTTCCTATACCATGCACGCACAAGACTCAATCGTTCTCAATACTCAGCAGCTTGATTAGCTCCTGGTTACCCGAGCCTGATGAAACATGCAAGGAAAAAATGGATGTGGTAAAAGATGGGAAGTAGCATTATTTCAATGAACACGTTACGTGCACTTATTGCGGTCCTGTGAAAAAACAAAAACGTCGATTTTTATTCAGCTTTTCTTACCTATCACAAATTGAACGAAAACTTTCTTACAGTTTTCGCTGTACATTATATTACGAAATTATTTATGAAGCGAAGAGCTCTGTGCACGCTGAGGAATATAAACATGTCGATTCCCATGCCGTCGCATGACGGCCATCAGTGGTGGTTGTCGTTAACGAGAGGCAAGCTTGCTCTATGCTGTCCGTGAGGGACGCTTGTCAACCGTGGCTCTTTCCCCTAGCTTGTACGGAAGCATCCGCTTTCTACAGCGAGCGACATTCTCTTGTCACCGAAACGCGATGTAATTCGCACTGGACGTGCACCGCACCGCCTAATTCGCTGAATAGCGATAGCGCGCTATCTGCCGAGTGAACAATCAACTAGCGGTGAGCACGGGATGGACGCGCTGTTCGCCAGATGTTGTCAGGGGCTCGCAACTTCAGTGCACCCGTCAAAAGTTAGATCCTTTTGTTTTGCATGTTTCAACGCTCGTTGCATATCTGACAAAAAGGGTAACTGCATCACAAGGTGCTCGCAAACAACATAGGCACAGGAACCCGTACTTACCAGTCAATCCGAACTCGTTTCCGGTTTTGTCCCAAAAGTCGTCCTTTAGCAGACTTTCCTTGTGCTCGGGGTGGCGTTTGTCGTATAGTACGTACGGGGTAGTTGCGCTCCCATTCAATGAGCATTGCTGCTAAGCACAAGTTATGTGACTGTTACATGACGAGCGAGTCGGACATGGTCATTTTTTTTTTCGAATTCCAAGGCTAGCATTTCTATTGGTTCGCAGCGAGCCGATCCGGCGGCAGACACCGCAAAAATTAGAGAGTGATCGGCGCGGCAGATCTCGGCGCCGCCCAATAAGATTCCACGCGCTTTCTGGGGGCCAGAACGCTCAGTGTTAACTAGCCATTTCTGTTGTTCTCCGTTTGCGTGAGACAGAGCAAAACATGGGAGCGCATTACCCCACACTCTCTCGTCACATTTTCTCTTCTCTTCCTTCGACGCCCTGCAAACCCGCTGGATGTCATGCGGTGGTGAAAAAGTAGGAAAAGTAGGTCGTTTCTATCACGCACACGCAACGCAACATTCATTTTTCAATATATATATATATATATATATATATATATATATATATATATATATATATATATATATATATATATATATATATATATATATATATATATATATATATATATATATATATATATATACTACAGGTGTGTGTGTACTACAGAGAGAGGTGGCGAGAAGGAGAGGCAGGCTAGGAGAAAGAAATTTACGAGTTCACTACTCTGGAAAAAGCAATTACACGAATCGTAGGGGAAACAGCGCGAAAGACGATTGGAGCGTAGATGAACACGTGTAGCTGTATGTGCTATGTGTGCCTTCACTCATGAACGTTAAGGCCCATGCGTCGTTGTGCGAGTGCCTTTACTGTCCTTGTCTGTCACGCAGTTTACGCTATGATCAACCAACTAGCCGACAAGTTCACCCTTCAATTGCACAAAAACGAACATGAAACACACCATCGGCCACAAAATATTACGGAGCACGTGGCGAAAATTTCATATGCGCTTTGTAGTGGCAAGCCGTCGGCTGTCGAGAGCATTCCTATGTCTATTGAGTGGCCAGAGCTATGCTTTCAACAGCAGATGGCTCGACACTAGACGGCACAGACGGCAATTTTACTATAGTTCTCGCGCGGTGCACTTTCTTTTGGGGCCGACTATGCGTCCCGTTTTCGTAGGTTCTTCTAAAATTATATTGAAATGCAATACGCTTGTTAGCCTCACTTCATCTACATCACCGATATTTACCGACAAGATCCCGTGGAGCACGTCACACTGACACCCGACCGGAGCTAAATATACAAGTTCGTGCCATATCTGTGAACATACGTCAAATTTTGCGAAAAACTTTCAAACTGACATGTTTGCGTATGCTATTTTGCCGCACTTGCGGTGCAATTAAACGTATACAGTCTAACTACGGGCAATGAACTTAAATTTCTCTGAGATATACTGCGCTGCACTCTCCGTAGAGAACTCTTCAACTCATCCCTGCCGTCATTCGCAAGCCTCACGAACGAGAAGTCGCGCGGAAATCCGAGAAAAGTTATCTGAAAGCACGCGTAACATTCAGCAAGACTCCGGCGCTGGAACTCGGGCGCTTGGCTTCTCATTACCTTGGCGTGCCGCATTCTCCTCATGACAAACATTTCACGGTGTTCAAAATCTGCGAATGAAGATACGTCGAGCTTAATTGCATACGTTATACGTGACATCACTATCTGCTTTTCAAATGACAACACTATCCAGCTGACCCGCCATCTATTATTAGACTTGCGGCTTCACAAATATTCACAAATGCACAGCTGAATACTTTGGACACAGCTCTCCAACTACGTGTCCCGCCTAGCCTATGACGACTTGACAGTACGTAGCTGGCCCGTCTGTCACTTGAATTGGTCTTCTAAAATGCCTGTTCATTTGTTATTGTAATAGCTGAGAGCCTGTCATGTGAAGTGACTTTCTCTGTGACTGTACCCGCTTCATCTCCGAAAGAGAGACCCTCTCAGCCGCACTAGGCCAGCTGGACAACCACCCTCTCAAAAAGAACAAAATAACAAAATCATGGGGCTCTGGCCTACCCGGTCTTCAACACGAGCAGCTCTGCGGGCGTTGCTGAGGTTTCTTCAAGCAATCGGACTGAGTGCCAAACTATGACTGCTTGAGGGAAATGCTGCTCTGTAGTTCTGGGACGGTGCTTCAGTGAATACATTTTTTCCTTACTCTCACAAAGTTTTCTTTTTTTCATTCTTTTACACTTCTTTGTCCCCTTTCCAAGCACAGGGTAGCGAACCGGTGTCTTCCTCTGGTTAACCTCCCCGTATTTCCTTTATCTATCTATCTCTCTCTCTCCAGCCAGTGAAACCATCGAATATTTTTATTTGGCTGAACGGTGACTCGGAGTTTCCGAGAATGTAGAGGTATAGCGAACGGGTTAGTCCAAGAAGGTATTGCAAGAACGCCTGCTGGCGCAACACTTGGATGGATGGATGGATGGATGGATGGATGGATGGATGGATGGATGGATGGATGGATGGATGGATGGATGGATGGATGGATGGATGGATGGATGGATGGATGGATGGATGGATGGATGGATGGATGGATGGACGGGTGGACGGGTGGGCGGGCGGACGGACGGACGGGCGGGCGGACGGGCGGGCGGGCGGACGGACGGACGGATGGGCGGACGGGCGGATGGACGAATGGGTGAACTTTATCTGGTTCTTTGGAACACGATTTAGCACGTTGCGGGCCACTGCCACGTCGAAACAGAAAGATCAATTGAGTCTCTCTGCTGCGTCGCGGGTCCGTTGGACTGCCCATAGCTGTTGTTAGAGTCCGGAGCTTGTAATAGCACCATCCCATTTGGACGGCGTGATGACTACCCCACAGCGTAACGCGGGGCGCCGCCAGTTACGCTGTGGCGCCCCGCGGATAGCTAACTTAACTGGCGCCGCCAGTTAAGTTAGCTATATCGTCGCAAAAGGAACATGTACTAGTTGGCTGTGTTTTTAGGTAAAATTTGTTCAATAGCGTGGGGTTAGGGTATGCCCCGACCTGAAGAAGCCTGAGCATCAGAATCTGAGATCTGCTTAGTTTTCTGTGTGGTGGAGGGTATTGTCTCCGCGCCAGGTAAAAAAAAATGTTTTGTTAGTTCGTTATACGAGATGGGTGAGAGAGAGCGTCACGGTTCTCTAAAACATCAGCGCCGCTCCCCCCCCCCCCCCCCCCCCCTCTGATAGCTACGCGGTGTACTAGTCCTCACGCAGCTATGTGGGCTGACTCGTTGAGATTGGGCGGGGCTCCCTCAATGCGTCCCAAATGAGCTGGGAACCAAATGAGCGTGTGTTTGGCTCGATGTCTTTGTCCCGAAGAATTCGCAAAGCTGGTTCCGATATTGTTCCCTTGGCAAATTCTTGGACCACCGATGTCGAGTCACTCTAAAATGTGGACCTCCTTCGCAGATTTTTTTTATATACAAGACACAGAAATCGAAGGTGATGATCATCATTTAAAGCTGACACACACCCACTATGTCTGATAGCTTCTGAATCAAGTGACAGTATGAGCTGTAATGTCATTCAATAGAAATATACTCCATCAAGGAATGTCGCAGGAGCCAAAGTATAAACAAGTGGATGGGTCTTCGTCAACGCAAGTTGTTGACCTGAATTCCAGTCTTCTTTGGGAAACCACGTTTTAG